AGCAATGCCCCGTGCCAGCTACAAGACCAAGATGACCTGCCTCCGACGTCCAGATGGAACAGTTACTGCATCCCGAAGGGCAATGGAGAAAGTCATCCACGACTTCTACTCGGATCTCTTCGATAGCCATGTCCATCTGCCTACTTATCAACCGCAAGAGGATGGATACGTCGTCCCTCAGTTCTCTCTTCCGAAGTCCGACACGCCATCAAGTCGGTGAAGAATTGTACAGCGCCCGGTCTCGACAGGGTTAAACCGGAACATCTGAAGAACGCACCGCCAGTTATCATCAAAACTCTGGCTCGACTCTTCACGCGCTACCTGTCGGAATGCAAGGTACCCACTCCGTGGAAAACCAGCAGGACCGTGTTGCTGTACAAGAAGGGAGACTTGGACGACATTGGCAACTATCGCCCAATCTGCCTGCTGTCTGTAATCTACAAGCTATTCACTCGAGTCATCCTTAACAGGATCGGCAGAATACTAGATGAAGGACAGCCATGCGAGCAAGCAGGGTTCCGAAGAGGGTTCAGCACGATCGACCATATCCACACGGTTACGAGACTTGAAGTTTCACGAGAGTACAAGATGCCGCTTTGTCTCACGTTCATCGACTTGAAGAAGGCCTTCGACTCTGTGGAGACAGAAGCGGTCATCGAAGCCTTGGGCAACCAGGGCGTCCCTACTCAGTACATCAAGATTCTTCGTGAGCTCTACAGCAACTTTACGACCAGGATCTCACCATTCTACAAGGAGGTCATCATCGACGTCAAGAGAGGGGTCCGACAGGGCGACACCATCTCGCCCAAACTCTTCAGCGCCGCTCTCGAGAACGTCATGCGTCAACTGGAATGGGAAGACATGGGAGTGAAGGTCGACGGCCGGCAACTACACCACCTTCGTTTTGCTGACGACATCGTTCTTATAACGCCGAACATCGAGCAAGCGGAGCGAATGCTGGCTGATTTCGACTGCGCCTGTGGTAAGGTTGGTCTACAGCTGAACCTAACGAAGACGATGTTTATGAGAAACGGATTGGTTCCTGATGCCCCATTCACGCTCAACGGAACGAACATCACCGAATGCTCCAGCTACGTGTACCTAGGTCGGGAAATCAATATGATGAACGATCTAGCTCCAGAGCTGAGCAGGAGGAAACGAGCGGCTTGGGGAGCGTACAAGAACATCGAGGGAGTAGTGAAGCTTCGTATGAATGTATGGTATATAACAAGTTATGCATGGGCGGCGTGGCGCGAGGCGCTGCTTCCGCGCGCATCCGCGGGTCCTCGCATGTCCCATCGTAATGCTTCTACTGCGCTTCAGAGTACTTGACTTTCGTTTACTCCGTCGTCCTGCGTCTGGCATCGTGTCTACGTATCCTAACACCGCGGCATTATACGAAGTTATGGACGATGCTAGGAGTAACCCTATACACGCAAGTGCAGAGGGGAATCCGGAGTGCCGAACTACGCCAACGATCGAAGATCAGGGACGCTGCCGTTTTCGCCAAGGAATCGAAGATAAGGTGGGCCGGACACGTCATGCGATTTTGCGATGACCGTTGGACCAGAGCGGTTACCGACTGGATCCCTCGGGACGTCAAACGACGAAACACTTGGACGACCGCCGGCGCTTCGTAGTGGGGCTAGGACTTCTTCAGTTGCGGAAGCGCGCAAATGTAATCTTAAAGGATGAGGGATTGTGACGTCGGGTAGTCGCTCAGTGTTCGAGCCAATGTGAGGATCTCACGTGGTACCACCCTTAGCACGCCGACAGGGGGACGGAATGCGATAGAACGTTGCTGGCGGCTGCTCGAGCAATCGATGTATCAACGGTGGACGACAGGTGACAGTGCTGATATGGAGATCAAATAGGAAGAGGTAATGAGCTTCTGAATTTGATCCTCTCGTGGTTCGGTGTATAGGCTGGGGCGATCTCCGACTGTTCAATCATAAGTAGTTAAATATTGAAAATGCCTTGACATTGATGCTCTCATTATAAAGAAAAAATCATAAGGTTGAAAGCCTTATTAAATAATTCAAGATTATTCACGGCGAACGCTGAAAAATGCGAATTTTTCAGGGCAAATACCGCTTTGCACGGCGATGGCTTGCCGCGGTCCTCCACCCAACAACGTGGGGAACACATATGAGTATAGAAGGGCTCGTGAATGAAACAATGGAAATAAGGCATTTTCAGATTGTCACGCGACGTGCCTGTCACCCACCAGACGAACTCCCACATATCTTGAAAATCATCGCCTTCAGTCTGCAGCTTTTCTTGAATATCAGGTAACGCACGGACATCAGATCTCGGACCGACTCCAGCGATCAGCACTTTGCGTTTGCAGCACCAAAGAGCGTCGCCAGTACCTGACATTTATTTTTGGTTTTGTCTAATGGCATGCTTTCAGGGTTCCTGTGCAAGTTCCTTATCTCACTTTTTATTGGAGAGTTAGCAAAAAATTCACAATTTGCGCGCCTATCGCAATATTAGCTTGGTGCAATTGGGGATGGGCAGAGCATGTGAAACAGCGCGGAAGCATGTCCTTTTTCTGAATAACGGGACTAAGCCTTAGGCGGGGAGTACAGACTGCAGGCTGCGTTAGGCATTTTCATTCTTCCTCAATTTCCTTGCGATCCTCTAGCGCTTAGTCCGTAGAGCGTTCATTCACATTAATGCATTGCTGCTGCAGCGATTCCGACAGTGTAAATGGTACACAATAGCGATTTCATGATTACGAGTTCCGAATTCCGAGGATCTAAAAATCGAAAAAGAATTTCCACAGGACGACACCAATTGCGCAAGAGCGTGACCCGTCAATAGGAATCAGCAGCTAAGAAGTGAAAACCAATATAGAACCTGCGTCATTTCCAACGTAATTTCTATAGAAAGATTACACTCTTTCTAAACAATTATGGACGGGGTTTCGATACAAAGGCAGCCCATTAAACGGTAGAGGTAGGATGTGAGGAAAGAGAAGAAGAGAGACAGAAAACCATGACAAATTGAACCAGGATCGAGAAATGAGAACCCTTCCCTGCCCGTTGATTTCCGCATGGATGCGACTCTCATCGGTGCTGCCCTCTCCAACGCTATCGCTGTCTTTGCTAAACGGCTAGAATCAAGGGCCGGTGGGGTGCGCGCACGTATATCCCCACTGAGCCGCTGAGGACGTACTCTTCGCTGAAAAACGCGCATTGTCCCGCAGCCTTTATAGGGCTCGCCTGCTTTCCGACTTGACTTACCTCCCCTTCTTCAACCTGCCATCTTCTCGCGGATTCTTCCTTTAGAGGCACGCGTCGCGCAATTGATTTTTAGTAATCTCTCTCCTTGGAGAGGTAGCAGGACCACTTCACAAATGAGAGGTACCGTCGCACTTGAAACTGCACTACAAGGGAGCTATTGCCTTGTCTTGACCGCTGCGACCGCTGCATACTTGGCGTGACGTGGCGCTCTCGCGTTTTTCCTCTCTTCGCAGCGCTGTGTCTTTCCATTGAATCACGCTCCACCTCACAGAAAAACGTCTAGCTTTCTGTGGTGCTCTTTGTTTATTGTCTCCAATGACGCTCCTGTTCGCACTTCTTGTCTTGTTCTCAAACGAGATAACACACTAATTTGATCGTGATGCACATCGCAACCAGGGTACTATTGGCTCTGATGTATGATAAAGGAAGTTCGACATCTATTAGGATTCGTGGGGTCCAGCACACAACGAGCATGCAGATGGCCTATGGTAAATGATGACAATAAAACATAACAGTAGGAGGCATTAAACGTGGGTATGCCACCAACTTCGTTGTTGTAAAACGAAAACATGCGAAAATTGACCTCAGAGTCAGATGTATGGTCGTTTGGTCGCTGCTGAAAATGAAGATCAAGCTGGTGAACTGGTGCAGTGGTGAATGGAAAACTGAAGGAAGAGACTAAAACCTTTGGAATGAGCCGCTCCCCTTACCCGTCGATTCCCGCACTCAAGGAGATTCTACAAAATATGACTCCATCACATGGACGCCTTGCTATGTCGTTCTCCACTCCCTCGCCACAAAACTGTTACCATAAACCAATCACAAGCCGCAACCCAGAGGCGGGGCATCCTCGCAGGGGGCGTCGCCAAGGCTAGGCTGGGTTAGGCCATAACGGGTGCAATCTTCGCATGAAAGTTCCGCGTATTGCTCCTTAGGGGCTTGAAGGCAAAATTTATGATGAGAACTTACCTCATGGAAACACCTCATTGGAAATAAGGGTAGAGGTGGTCGGTGGAACAGGGATCCTACTTACTATAAAGCGCTTCGTCTGTCGTTCTGTCTGTCGTTCTGTATGTCTGTCACGAAATTCCCTAGCTCCTCGGGATCCGCCTGGAGGGACCGGGTCAAGTGTGGGACGGGTGGGCAAGGTCTCACGAAGTACATCAGCTAAGCGGAGCCCCGCCCACAGTGGGCGTGGCGTGCGTCGAAATGAAGTGTACTGACGACCAGATTTCAATTCTCTGACAAAACGACCTCGAAACTGGGCCAAAAAGTGGGTAAAGGTGTGCATTGGTAAGTCACATCGAATTAGGGAGACCCACCCCCGGTGGGCGGGGCGTTCTCCAAAAAAGCAGTGCTTTATGAAAAATTTCATAACTCGGTTGGGAGAAAGCCTACAGAGCAGAAAACAAT